TCACAAAGAGCCTTGGGAAATCTTTAATATTTTCAGGAGGTTTGTTGGTGTGTAAACTGTTTAGAGGMTTCTGAGACAAATGAACAGTCTGGAAATGGGCACAACACTTTGTCGTCTTCATTTTTGGTTGGCGTAAAGTAACGTCCAACCTCGCCTTGTCTCGCAGTGGAGCCTTAGCCGACGCACCGAGGAGGCAAAGAGCAGGGAAACGAGACATCTCGTGACTCAGAAATGTGAAAACTCCTCTCCTCCAGGCTGAAACAGATAGACTACTCCTCGCTGGGTCAACACAGACTACAGGGCTCTACTGACTCGTGTTGTTGTCATCCCCCGTCTTTAAGCAGACGTTGCATAGTATTGCACTCTTCTCCCCTGGTGATAAACACACAGGGAGTCGTGGTGGCGAGGTGTTTCACCTGCTGCCCTACAGGAAACTTGCACTATTTAGGCCATGTTCAGTTCGTTCATTTTGACAGAAAACATCTCTTTTAAATGCTTTGTTAAAACGGTTTTGAGGATTCTCCATTCAAATTTGCGAGTTGGCGCATTCTTCTCCTGCTAGGCTTCGCTGGTGGTGTTTCGTTTGCCAATTTAATAACGCAAAGTTCCAAGCAAGTGTCTCTAACTCTCGCTAGGCTCTTTGTAAACATGTCGGCAAATTGCTGGCCTGTCGGCTCCTGTTTATTCAGATTTATATGGAGGAAGCAGCTTGATTGGTGGGCTTCCTGTGCAGAGGTTTGAAGCACAAGGTCTGCCCCTCACACGGTCAATGCAGTCGTTGTCAAACCCTCTTAGGTGTCAGACAGCTAACAGATTGTTATGGAAAAGTTGCCATAATGGTTTTGGCCTGTTTCTGTGTGTGGGTTGGTTTGACTATAGCATTATAATATTTCTTGCCTCACTGGGTGAATTTGATCGACATTGATCAAAAAGGAATCATTGATTGTTCATCTATCACTTCATGTCTGCTGTAAACCCACATTCATAGCTAAGAAGCCTTAGCAGCCACAAAAATGGCAATAATGATAATAATAATAATAATGATGGTATTTTAGTCATGTCTGTGTTAACTGATCAGTTCGAGATCTGTTTTCCAAACTTTACCATTAGCTAATGGAGTCAACTATGTTCATCTGCTAGCAAAATATTTTGTGAACCATTGGAGGGATTTTAATGAAATTCTCATTTGGTTAATTATTGAATGCGCATCTACAACTGAWGAACCTTTTGGAGGATATCCAGTTTAAGATGACAGCTAATCGATATTAGTTAACACAGCATTTGCTATAACTGTCAACGTAGCACAAATTGAGCTAAAATTTGGGAACACATATCCTAAGTGCTACACATTTTGCAACATGTTTGCTTTAAACTTTGGCATTAAATGTAAAAATATTTAACACTGTCTGTTTGTTCAGTGATTACTTTCTGGGAGTTTCACTGAATTAAATAAAATTTGCTAACTCATTCACACTGGACATCAGCTTGATTCAAGATGGCCTCCGCCACTAATCAACCCCAGCCAACACCCAAATGTTTAAAAGTCCTTCAGTTTTACAGATATTGAGGTAAGCTTGGGTTTAGGTGGTGGGTAATAGTCATTCCTTCAAGGAATGTTAGACCTTTTTTGCCATTGCTGCAGATTTTGTAGAGCAGCAGTATTTATTTCCATCAGAAGACATTCTTATCATCTAATATCAAAGGTTGAGCTCCTGGGACTGGTGTGATTTTGACCATCTTTAGATATTAGGAAATAACAAGCTAGATAAATAAATGTCTACCGACTTTATAGATATCAACATTTTCTTGGAATTGTTGATCAAATAACCAGTCGATGCTGCTTAGTCTGCTTGTTGCGCCTGAAAGGGATTTATCATTAGGTTTATTCTGATTATTTGATTTATTACTCTGATATGCTTGTCTTTATGACTTTAGATTAGCAACCATACCCCATTTAGAAGCAGAGCTTAAAATAAAACCTTGTGATTGATGTTACGTGTTTGTTCTTTTGTAACTATTTCGCAACAGCATTTTAAAAAAAGAAAGCAGAGACCTTGGTAATCAAAATTTCAAAGTTTTGAATCTCTTTTTGGTGTTTTTCTAGGAGGTTTTCTCAAAAATTAAACAATCTTTAAAAAATGGATTTATTTCCATTCAGCTTCCTAACTTTGCAATTAAAACACACATCAGTGTCTTTCACTGGAATATGGGTTTTGTTTGTTTGTCTTGCTCTCAAATCAAAATGTACTTTTCTCAAAAGGGGTTTCTGAGGCCTAGAAATGTGCTGCTCAACACGGCTCAGCCACATGATGCTGGTGTAAAACAGATTTGAAATGTCCCAAAATCGATTTTTAAAGGTAAAAACATAAAGCAAATCCGGTGGCTGTCAGCCTCCATTTTATAAGTGTGTGGGACGTCCTGACGTCACATGGAGCTGGTTCTGGAACGTATGAATGTGCAGAAAGCACCAAAACAAAGAGGAAACTATAGAACTGGAGGAAAGAGATTCAGTCGGCCCTGTCTTCAATGAATGCAAACATTTGGGCTCATTTAGCTTTTACTGAATGAGTCTGAGTTTGATGTGAGCTTCACTGTGTGCAGTGTTTGCAAAATGAAGATGAAGCACTTTGGGAACAGGACAAATGGGCTCACATTATCAGGTTTGAATGAAAAGTCGATTTTGAATCGAATCGTGGTCCCAAAAATCAGATTGAATCGAATGGTGAGAGAGTAAAAGATTCCCACCCCCACACTAAAGGTAGGGCAACACTAAAAGCTAAATGTAGCAAAACTTGAGCTAAAAGTAGCAAAACGCTTACTTGAAGCTAAACACAACAGAACAGTGGCTGAAAAGTATAAGCATAAGTAGATAATAGGTACTGTATGTTAAAGTAGATTTAAAATAAAATGTGTTTGGAGGAACAGAAAAAGTTTTAAAAGGCTAAAGCTAAATATTCCAGAAAGTATAAAAGTTACAAAAACCAAAGTCACAGCAACCAACTGTTCAATGAAACAATGTTTTCAATTAAGTGTAAGAAAAAAAGAAGAAAAAAGTACGCAGAAGTAATAAATAAAAACAGAAATAACAAAAATGCTGAAACAGAATTCATAAGGTTATGATCTGAAGGATCAGGTAACGATAATCTGTTTTCCTCATGTTTGATCAAGAATGATCCAAGCTTCCTAAAGGAGATGCAAAACCAACAGACCTTTTCCCATCATTTACGAATGTCAGATAATAAAACCCGTTGATGGCCCTGAATGATTTATGAGAATCACAATTCTGATGTGAATCGATTTTTTGGTGCACCCCTACTTTAGTGTTTAGTTAACTTTCTGTTACTTTTAGCTATGAGCTAATCTTTTGCTGCATTTACCCACTATGTGCTTTTTAGCTAGTCTTGCTACTTTTATCTTTAAGTTAGCCTTTTTATACATTTAGTTTTTAACTGACTTAATGCAGCTTTTGTCAAGTACTCTGCTGTTTATATCCAGTGTTTTGCTACTTTTAGATTTTTGGTAATCTTTTACTACTTTTAGCTTTAAGCCAGCCTTTGATACTTTTAACTTATAGTTAGGCTTTTAACTTCTACCTTTAACTAGTGTTTTAGCTACTTTTATTTTGAGCTAGTCTTCTGCTACTTTAAACTTTTAGATGTCCTGTTGCTACTTTGAGCTAGTCGTTCATTACTTTACATTTAAGCTGTCTATTTGCTACTTTGAGTCAAGCTTTTTATGATTTTAGGAAGCTTTTTGCTCTTCTTTAGCAAATTTCAGCAAAGGTCTTAAGCATTCAGTGTTCACTCTGTGTTTTTTGTTGAAAGTGTAGTTTAAAATACTCTAAATTGATTTGGACCACCCCTTCAACAAGTCAGTACGGTTTAGTACATATGACATCAGTATGTACGGCCCCCACCTGCTGTACCTGTATGTAACAGGTAAAAGTATTTGTAGAGTAGGGCTGAACAATGAGTRAAAGATTTTTCATCATCATTATATCAGTATCACAAAGAATATCAATAGATCAGACGCAAAGTGCAGAACGTCCAGCCATACATCCATTATCTATCCAAAATGTTTCTAAATATTTAAGCGGGGAAAAATATATTCATCTTTTTTGACAATGTTTTCTTCATTGTCATTTTGTACACAATGAAGAAAAGTGATTACACCAAATATCCCGTGAAAATTATCACAGTCTGTCCCTGATTTTAAATTCAGTGTTCATGTTTTATTCTGTTTTATTTTAAAACATGAATTTCTTTGTCGGTCCTGCTCGTCTGTCTCTTCGTCACATCTGGTCTGTGTTCATAATCAGCACACCTGTTCCTTGTGTCTCCTCACCTCGCTTCATATTTATAGTCGCAGGATTCCATTGTTCAGCTGTCAGCTCGTTTGTGTTTTTTGCCTTTTTCGTTTTTGAGTTGCAAAGTAAAAGATTGTCTTCATCATAAGTCATCTCTTGAGTCTATTGGGTCCTCGAGACATCGCCTGATGTGTTTCGCATTAACAATGGTTGTTATTCTGGTTGAAAACATTACTAACAAAAAAACTTACTTTTTAAATTTTTTCGAAAGCGCGAGCTGATATTTGTTTATGTTGAAGTGAGCCATAAAAGCTTTCTGCAGTTGTAGGGCCAGATGGAAATAACAAAAAAGACTGGGATGTCTGTTTTTAAGCCCCTGAGTGTTGCAAAACATAAGGTTAAAAATGAAAAAGAAAGGGTAAACTGGGATTTGACCAAAGTCTGGAAGAGTTTGARCCTCTTCTTTTTTTATATTGAACCTTTTGATTCACAGCTGCCCTTAAAGCTTTGTGTTCAGCCCAGGTCTTAAACCCTGTGATGAAAAGCACCACGCTGTAACTCCTGCAAATGTCACCAGATAGTAATATTTTCCTTCTATGTCATACCTCTTAATCCACTGCTGCCTGTCACAATAAAAGCATTCAAATTGACAAACCATAACTCTGTCCCTACYGTCCTCTCCCTGTCCCTGCAGTGGACATCAACTCAGCGCTGCCCCTGCGTCTGCCTCCAGCTGCCATCCCCATGGATCTACGCGTGGACCATAACCAGCAGCAACAGGTGTCCTCGCTGTCCCCGCCCGGCCAGCTTTCGCCGGGCTCGCTCGGGGGGACGGGCGGCGGCGGCGGCGTGGCGGCGGCCTCCGTGCGCGAGCAGCAGCTGCAGCAGGAGCTGCTGGCCCTGAAGCAGAAGCAGCAGATCCAGCGGCAGATCCTCATCGCCGAGTTCCAGCGGCAGCACGAGCAGCTGTCCCGCCAGCATGAGGCCCAGCTCCAGGAGCACATTAAGGTACATCATTTCCAATTAGCATTATTTATACCAGGCTATTAATGAGGCTTTTCGTCTGAGCGGAGGGAAAACAAGGCTGGATTAAGTTTTCAGCACAGTTCGCCGCCGCGTAMAAATATACAACTGAAGTTCACGCGGAAGCTCTAGCGCTAGAATTTCAAGGCGGATCCACATCTTGGCTTTTTAAATCTCTTCCAAAGCAAGCAAAGACAGCTCTTAATTTAGTCTGCCACAGGATTCTTCAATAACAGACTAAACTCAGCAGCCACATCAGCTTTAAAAGGCTTCACTCTGAGGAAAGTGGGAGCAGAGAACAGGAAGGCACTTTAGCTTCATTTCCTTTAACTGCACGGATGGATGAGAGCAATATACGGATGCGTTTGGCTTCAGAAAGTGAGTGAAAAATGAACGCGGTTGAACTGCCGGCAGGTTACATAACTAAGGCTTTTGTGCACATGACTTTTTTACTTTAAATATTTGTACGCTCACACATAAAACTTCGGAATTGAAAATCAACTTTCAAGGAGCTTTTAAGGATGAATAAATGCGGATTTCCTTCGATTTCCCAACGTCTCGTTTTTATTATTTTTTCTGTTTTCTGTCTCTTTCCTTGTTGTTTTCTGTTGCTGCTCAGTTCTTTCTTCCTTTCTGATACTTCTTTTCTGTTTTTAGGGAAAAAAACTTATTGTCTTAATCTCTTTGTATTCTTTTTCCATTGTTGTCTTTTTTTTTGGTTATCTTTCACCATATCTTGCCACTTGTTCATTCGATAATCCATTTTTCCTTTATACGATTTCTAGCTTGCTAACAAATTTATAGCCCTTTTGGTCAAAGCTTGAAAATAAACCAACTGTTAGACGCTGTGCTGTCTCTTAGAGCATGTGTTGTGAAGGACACTTCGCTACTTTCAAATCAGATGTTAGCTTAGCATCATTTCATCATTTTGAATTGGATTGAAATGCGAGTGGGAGTTTCTTGGGTGTGGGCGTACGTTGAGTAAAGGGGAGTTGGGTAGAGGTGCAACAATTCAGATCACTATGAATATTAGTCCTAACTTGAGGAAGGAAGGTGCGAGCCACACCAAATTTTAAATCAGTAAGTCAAATTTACATCTTTACAATAATTTTATCATTACTTCATCTTTTAACTTCTCTCAAAAGTCCATCCAACCAGTCATGGCTTACCCAAATTATGCCCAAACAGACCCCCTTCTCTTGRAACGTCCTCAGTGTACAAAGTTGCCCGATGTCAAAATGGCTGCAGAGCACAGCTAAAACACGTATTAACGCAAAATTTTGACTATAAACATTTGCATTTGTATCCCTAAAAAGGTCGATAAATGGTAGCTCCGCCATGTTGTTCTGACAACACGCTCAGGCCAAGGCCAAAGCTCAGGACTAATCTTGGCCTAATGCTGTCTGAAGGGTCTTCTGGCCTGTTGTGGGGCTGCAGGACCACTCAGAAGGGAACCAGTGACGCACATCTTGAGCATGGAGGCCCAACCTCAATCAGCCTCATTCACAGCCCTTGTGTACACACAGAAACACACACACACCAAATTGCTATTAAAACATACACATTCTTAAATTTCAGCAAACAGACCGTCTTGCCCAGTTTGGTTCCACATTAGGGCCAGAACTTCACAGTTGAGTTCATGCAAACATTTCGGATCTCTGCCTTTTCTTGCTCTGAAACGTCTTCAGTTTGTACTGTAGCTCTAAAGGGTAAAAAGTAAACTGTGTGTGTACATCTCTGGTCTCCTGAGCCACAGGGGTTTTAGAGGTGTGTGTGTCTGTGTGTATGTGGGTGGGGAGGTTACTTTGGGCCTTACCACCCACTCAAACCCYTTTCCCCAACCTTGGTTTAAAGGCTGAAAAAAAAAAAGGATTGAAGGCTGGAAATGGTCCAGAGAGCTCCTCCTCTCAGCCACAGGCTCGTTTGATTTCCCTCACTGTAAACACAAACCCGTGTCCCTTCTGCAGTGTGTCTGTTTACCGTATTTAAAACATGCTGATGAGAGGAAAACCGGTCAAATATTGCCATTAAAATATGCAGTGAGGGAGGTGATATGATGCTGGGAGGAGCACAGATTCCTTAACACATGATAGAAAAGGCATTAAGTTGCTCAGGCTGGTTCTTCAGGCATTGTACAGAAAACATGTTTCAGTGGGCAGTTCTATCATTTAATTGGTATTTATCACAAGAATCTCCGCTTCATTTAAAGACCCTTCAGTGCTGACGAGAAGGGGTTTGCAGACACATTTTGGCTTTCATGCTGATTTTATTTKTGACCTTTAGGTTGCAGGACAAGCTGTCAGTCCACAGAGGGGATTTTATCTTTGTGAAAATAAAACATCTTTTTACATTTAAAGCATTTAACAGATGTTCGTCTGATTTTATTTTTGTAGAGGAAGTAAGCAGATGGGATTATGTGTTTAGCTAAAGCCACATTTTCAGTTGAGTTGCTTGTATTTGTTTAAAGGCTAAAGCTTCTGGCTTCAGTCTTTTCTTAAGGAATTGAAAAGATTTGAGTTTATGGCTTTGAACAGCTGTAAGAGTATTTTGCTTGRTGACTCAGGAGGAGCAGGAGTGGAATGAAAATATGTCTCTTTTTAAAAGCAAGATGCTCGTGAAAGCTTCAAATGTGAAGTAAAGCGTGTTGTAAGCTATCATTTTCATTTGAAATGTCTTGAAATTTTCAAATTTCCCTGTTATTGTAGAAGTTGAGAAGGCCGCATAACAATTTGGGGGCACATCCGGGATTTAAACCTTCATTTTGCCTGAAGGGTTGGAATTTTTATTCTTTTTTTATTTTGTTTAAACCAACATGATTTTTATATGTCTCTGTGCAGCAACAACAGGAGCTTCTGGCTCTGAAGCACCAGCAGGAGCTGCTGGAGCACCAGAGGAAGATGGAGAACCACCGTCTGGAGCAGGAGCTGGAGAAACAGCAGAGGGAGCAGAAGCTGCTACTGCTCAAGAACAAAGAGCGGGGGCAAGAAAGTAAGTCATTGCAAAAAAAAGATGTCGTCAGATCAGGCAAGTTTGTTCTGCAACGTGTCTGACGAAAGAACCGGAAATGAAAGTGAGCTGTTTAAAATATATTTTGAATTTATTTGTTTACTTTTAAAAGGTGCACTGATTGCTTAGCAGGTAACCAACTGAAATTTAACTTGGTGTGCTTGACGGATGACTGGCACTCAGACATGTGTTCTTTTCATCCTCCTGGTTTATGAACGTATTGTTGCTAAGCAGCTAATTTACGTGACCAAAATAATATATTTTGTATTTGTACATGAGTGAGGAAAAAAAGTTGTCTGTTTATATTATCTCTAAGGTGTTTAAAAAAGTATATATATTCAGTAAAAAGCCAATTTTGCGTTTATACCAWCTGATTCACAACAGTGCAGTGAACRTGTAGATATAAGGCATTAAATATGCAACGTACGGTTGGTTCAAAGATAGAGGACCAAATGCAAAAACCTCAATGATAACGTCCCCTATTGGTGGGCATGTCTGAGTATTTCTCTGTGTTGCACAAGCAGGCCTAAGTTGYCCCATGTAATGTCACATCTATAGTCCTTTTCAGTTTTGGGCTGCTACAGAATATTAATAAAAAAATAATGGGGAAAAAAAGTAACTTTTTCATTAAGGTTCCATGCTCTGCTGGATGTACAGAAAAAGCCATGTTGGACCATTAGAAAACACAGATTTTTACAAAGACAAGTTTACTTCTTATCTGACTGCTGAAGAAAATATAAGCTAAAGGGTTGCTTTAGATCCTTTCTGTAAATAATTTATAATCGGGACAAATTTAAAGATGAATTTTATTTATTTTTAATTTATCTACTACTATGATGGTTTTATTTGTCTTGAATACAGTTAGAGCAAAGTGAAGGAATAATTAAATAATCTAACCTAAAATTTTTGATGTTTTTTTCCTCCCAAATATGGGATACCACTAGTTTATAATAAAAAAGTTAATAAGCATTTCTCAATTTATCCAGTGTCATTTCTATGTTTCAGTGTTTCAATTTAAAAAAAGGTAAAAATAGAATTTGTAATTGTCTTCTAAAAGAGACTTACAGTAAATTTTTAAGCTGAATTTTATTTTTTGTTGAGTATAAAGGGTTTAGTTCCAATAATGGAAAAACAAAGATCTGTTCCTTTTTGTTTATAAGAAAAAAAATACTGYAAATGCTTTATTATGAACTCAAAGTTATAATAAAAAATATGTGTGTGCCATCATTTATAGTTGCTAAAGAGAAGCAGAAAACCTCTGCAGGTCAGAGGTTTGCAGAAATCCGAACYGGTCTCCAGAAAATATCCTGGGTGCATCTCTGACAAACATTAGCTGATGTTTACTCTCTGAGCAGCAGCAAACGCAGGATTAGAAGCTGTTGGCGGGATTTCAGTGAAAGGTTTGACACCTCTCATTACAGATTCCGTCTTTAAACCAGAAAATAAGGAAAACAAACTGAACAAGACACTTTTCCAGCTTTAATAGCTCTGTAAATAGTTTTCCATGTCATCCAGGCAGCCGGCAACTTGGTCTCATTTACTCGACTTATTCAGGACTCTTCATTCAAATGGCTCAGAGGTTGAAAGAACTGCTGTGTGTGTGTGTGTGTGCGTGCGCGCTTGTGTGTGTCTGTTTCCATTTCGCTCGGAGAACCTGTATATTTGCCGTGGTGAACGAGCTGTATTAGCCCGGTGGCCTTGGCGGGGGCCGGCCCGAGTTATTACYGCTGCCCTCTGGACGTCTCTCAACAGTTCATTGAAAGCAAGTGGACAGGAGTCTTTGAGAGCCGTTTACACACTTTATGGAAAACGGTTACGGATCGAGCCTGCGTCCGTGCGAGTGCTTGTGCGCGCGGCAGCGAGGGAATTGAAGCGTCTGCTCTCACACGAGGGCAGTTTGGTGGTCCACTCCCCTGACGTTGAATCGCTCAACATTTTTTTGAGTGTATTTTTACTGCACTTCTGTTTTAATCCTTTTGAAATCCTAAAATGTTTTTTAAACCTTGTTGAGAATGCTTGAGTTCATCGATTAAAAAATTGTTTAACTAATAYAACTAGATGGATTTTCTGCCAGCTGGCTAATCAATAAATGGATGCTGTTTAAATTGTAGGATAGACATGTCTCCTGATGATGGTGCTCATCGGGCTGAGAGGGAAAATACCTTTTTTTGTGCAAAAATCGCTCAAATCTTTTCAAGACATCTTTGTTTGGATAATTATATTGAGTCGATTTAATGAAGTCCATGAGAAACCTTTCTTAAAGCAGCTAAAGGAAAATTGGTATGTTATGTAGTTATAAATTGGTGCTGAGTTATGGTCACTTGAGGTTTAGTGTTGACTGAACAGATTGGAAAAGGGTTTGTTTTAAATTAGAAACTGCGTGAGGAGAAATCATACTGTAAATGTGATTACCAAGTTGAAATCTTACTTGTAAATATTCTAAAGGCACTTGAATCATTAACTGAGAACACATGTGGCAGCTTTAATGTAACCTGCTCCATGTTTTCTTACCCCAAACTCAGTTGGTTGGCAGGCTGTTGTTTTAATCATGGCTTCAAACAGGATTTCCTTGAATAACCCTCTGGCTGATGTTTCTCCACCAGGTGCGGTGGCCAGCACCGAGGTGAAGATGCGCCTGCAGGAGTTTGTCCTGAACAAGAAGAAAGCCCTCGCCCAGCGGAGCCTCAACCAGGGAGGCCTCCCGAACGATGCTCCGTACTGGTATCGGTAAGAAACAGTTCCATCTAAAAGAGACAGAAGCCTGGAAAAACAATTAGCAAGGACTGTGTCCTGAAGAGTGGTGCTGATGGGATTTTTACATCATCTTATGGATAAATTACAAACAGTTTTTGTTCCCTGTTGTGGAGCGAAGAGGGGAATTGGAAAAACCTGTTTGTCGGTTTTGTTGTTCATCTTCATGGCTGCAAAGAGAGATCAACCGATATACAGGTTTTTGAAGGCCAATACCAAYACWGATTATTTTAACATTACAATAACAGCTGATTTTTTTTTTTCAGATTTTTGAAGTCTCAACATTAACAAAAAAGAAACATTTATTAACTGAGCCTTGTCTGGTGTAGGCTGAGTGAAGTGYTGCCACACAGGATTGAAYTTTTCAGCCATTTCTTTAAAAAAAACATATTCAAGATTTTTTTAATCTAGTGCTACATATTAGTTAGTTAGTTAGTTAGTTAGTTAGTTAGTTAGTTAGTTAGTTAGTTAGTTAGTT